AGAATTGTAATGCACATGGCTGCTGGAGTCTAATTTAAGTAAGAACACTCTGTGTTCTTCCCCCCTTCATAATTGTATTGATAGCTATTAATGTTGTCGTCATATCCTCTTACAAGGATTCATACATTTCCCACCAGGCCATGTTTTTAAGGAAGGTAGGTATGGCAGTGAGAAACTTAGTTCTAAAGAGGCTAAACAGTTTTGCTGGTGTCATTCAGGGTATATTGCTAGCGACTTCACTTGTTTTCACTCGTAGAAGTGACAAAATACACTGCATGGAAGTCACAGTGTCCATATATACAGTCTGCTTGCCCCCTGTTTTGAATCTTCATGCCAAGATCCTCAATTACATACCCGTTTTCCCGTTTTTACAGATTGGAATAAAAATGATTTAAAATACAGCTCTGAAATTTTTTTTTTAGTGGCTTTCTTTGTTCCATTGTAATTGTTTTTGGAAAGCTTAACTATCAAAGTGTTTTCTGCCAAGAAGACTAAATCAAGAGTAATAATTTGTGAACCTTTTAGAGATCAGAATCAAGGTGGTAGCGATGAGACACTAAGGAGACACCCTTTTATATTTCCAGGTATTTTTCTGTAATACAATTCACCAACTGCAGAATTTCAACCTTTGGGGGAAAGCAGTTTTTCCCTGCCTGTGGCGTGCCTGTTCACACTTGTAATGAATCAGAGAGACCCCATTATGGGATCACTTGTGAGAGAATCCTGTCTATATGGAAAACACTTTTCGTCGAAACCCTGTGTGTGTGGGGGGGGGGCTCTGCTTACAGAGCCGCCACTGGAATTGTGAATAGAATAGGTCTGGATGGTTCTGTGGGCCGGATGCTGGGTGGATGAGGTCAGGCTGGCAGGCTAGCCTCCTCTGTGAACTACACAGGTCCTCCACGCCACTTTCATGCCTATGGCTTCCACCTTTGCCCGCTGCACCACAGAGGCAGCTCTTCAGCTGTATGCCAAACATGCATGTCTGATCAGCATGCAAACACTTCTGGAGGTTTAATTGCCATCTCTTGTGGCAACAATGTAATGTACACCTGTAGCTCCTGGTGGCACTTGAAAATTCAGTCATGTGTGACCTTTTACCCATTGTTCCATTTTTGTGATCCTCCGACATCACACTGTGCTTCCTACTTCACCAAGATGTTGGTCCCTTAATACTAGCATTCCACCTGACTGTATAGACCTTGAACTCCACTCTATAGTCTTTAGTTGTTTTCACTAGTACCAAATCTAAAATAAATGTACTTTATCCTATGCCACCCATTCTTTTCCTGCAGGTAGGCAGCTAAGAATGGAAATTCAATAAAAACAAATCAAACCACCTTTTTAGAATCCAGTAGTGGTGTAATGATCTTTAGATATAAAGCTACAATGCCTTAATTCGATTTCTCCTAGTGTGTTTTGTGGTGAAAAAAAATATGGACTCAGGTGGGCCTTCATAATTCCTGGCATCATATTCCTTGTCTATCTTATGGGAAATCCCCTTCAGGCCTCCCAAAATAGGTCATTGTGCACTCATGTATTACGAATATTGAAAGTAAAAAAAAAAACTAAAAGGATGATATTTAGAAGTTGTATTTTCCCCTAGTTGCTGAATTTTTGTTCTCTGACTATTGACTCTGTTATTTATAAATACTAACTGTCTGCTGCCCAAAACAAGGGAAGAAGAAGCAACGGGATCATACGTCTATTAAATCAAATGCATGTGGTTCAGATCGTACTCAACAAGAAATGAATTCTCAGTATGCTTTCAAGGCCTATGTGAGAAAGCTAATTCTAATGGCGGTTGAATGTCTCAAACTGAGCTTGGGCATGGATGTTGTGACTCAAGAGCAAACATTTTTATTACCTTCAATATCAACCATACCCCATAGTTTATAGGCAAAACTAGCCTGCTAAGATTGGAAATGTAGCTTGAACTTGCAATGATCTAGTTACATAACAGACAGATTAAAGGAGGAACCCGGAGGAGTTAAGGAAGGAAATGAAAAAGCAAACTTTTTCCTATCAGGACAGTACTTAGTTTGAGATAATTTTGCTAAGTCAAATTCATTAATCCAAAACCAATTACTGTTCTGCTACTTCACATACTACTCAAGGAGTTCATCATAAAAGCCCATTTGAAGCAGAGTAGTGAAAAATGGCATTGGAAAAAGATGAGAAGTCATGCTTAGGTTGTAACTCAGTAGCAGAATACTTGCTTAACTTGCACAAGGCTATGGGTTTGCCCTGCTAAACCACACAACAATTATGAAAAAGAAACCATGGAGTTCTTAGGCTATAGACTCCTCTGACAATCTAATGAAGTGTAGTATAAAATCTCTCCAGAAAAGTATGCCTATGTGAATAGGCACATTATTTTGCCAACAATCTAAAGCCTATTAGAGCACCTTTCCCTCGAGTGCCCTTGAACCCTAGTTCAATAACCCTTCATATAGGGAAAGTGAAACTTTGAAGTATGATAGTTATTATATTTGAGCATTACATTTAGCTCTAAGCTTCCTGTCAACTGAGGTTAAAGGATTAAACACACCGGGTTACAGAGTTCTCAACATCTGAAAAAGGAAACAGACCAGCTTACAGAATTATAAGCAAAACATCATTTTAGAATGGAAATATTTACACATTTTTATAATATGCTTTATAAAGGATAATCAGGTAATATAAAAGGACACAGAATCACCTGATGGAATTTTTGAGAAACGATAGGCATTCAGAAGTATAATATCTATGCTAGTTGTATTGAATAACATACTAAATTATCTTTCACATCTATTGCTAATGCTTCTGGAAAAGGAGTTTTACTGTATCTGTGTTTCTTTAATATTAGTTTTATCCACTCATAATTATCTGATTAAAGCTGACATTAATATAATAAATCCCCATGAGCAATTAACACCTGAGCAACAAGAAAGGCCTAAGGGTATAAAGAGAAAGCAACCTATGTTTAAATATGTGATTTTAATAAGTCATACCATGGAAAATGACATATATACATATATATGCATATATACATATATATCATTTTATGGATATGTCATGTATATATTTCATATAATAGCATGTAATCACTTTAAGTTTCCAATGCTTCCAACCTCAGCATTGTTTTCTCAACAGCACGTAAATAACATAGTGACTGTTGTCACAATTATAGGTATAGATAGTATAGGGTAGGGGTTAAGAATATATAGAGTGTCCGGTCAGAGACTGGTTTCCTACCACTTCTTAGCTCTGTGTCCTTGAGTAAGTCTTCTCAATCTCAGTGTTATCATCTGGAAAGTATGCATACAAATGTTAATTCCAGGACTGGCCTGGTCTGGGCAGGGATCTCTTAGACATACTTCTTTTATAAGATTTCTGCCAAAAAAAAAAAAAAAATCAGTCCGAATGATCTGAAATCTGAAACTGCCATGTCAGCATCATGCTAGCAGTCTAGGTTTATACGATCTCATAGAGGAAAAGTTTGCTGGTTAATAGGAACGATTTACTTAGCAGGCCAGACGCCTGGAGGGAGAACCTGGAGGCCATGGCTGGGAAGCTCTGAGGCTACCATATAGGCATGTGTGACTTGCTAGAGAGCCTTGGGGAGGAGCTTACCTAGCAAATCTCTACCTAAAAGTTGCTGGGGATGATAGGGAAATAAATACCTAAGGACACAGACTTAGTGCAGCAGCTTTGCTTGCTAACGTCTGAGTAATATGCTAGGGATTCGAATATAGCCCCTGGGAGGATTGGCTAAAGTCGTCTCAATAAAGCTCTGACTCACAGATGTGCCCTGTGCATGATGGCAGCGATTACTTCTCTTGCTGTTATTATGAATGACGTTCCCTGCATCTCATGTCTTGTCTTGTTTTCTTTCAGTGGATGGCTGCATTGACTGGTCAGTGGATCTCAAGACATACATGGCTTTGGCAGGCGAACCTGTCAGAGTGAAATGTGCCCTTTTCTACAGTTATATTCGCACCAACTATAGCATGGCCCAGAGTACTGGGCTCAGGCTCATGTGGTACAAAAACAAAGGCGATCTGGAAGAGCCTATCATCTTTTCAGAGGTCAGAATGAGCAAAGAGGACGACTCCATATGGTTTCACTCAGCTGAGGCACAAGACAGCGGATTCTACACTTGCGTTTTAAGGTAAGTGTCATTTGAAAATATTGAGCAACCATGCACCTTGCAGTCTTTTGTTTCGGAGTGTTATATTGGAGTGTTTGCTGGTATAATTCATGTTACCTAGCAGCAGCTGAAGATCTCCAGTAAACTCGGTTCCAATGATCTGTTGGAACTACATACCAACTTCTTACCAGATTCTCACAACTCAGGACTCCTGCTTACTTACTGCATGTGTTTCCTTAATTTAGAACATCGCATAACTCATTTCTTTCCTGCCTTCACCCATCCCTGCTCCTGGGTCTTATAGTAAGAATTATTTCACCACAGAGCCAACTGACTCAGTGATCTTGGTGCCTGGCTCTGAACCTGACCTCCATATATCATTTAGGCTAAGGTCTGGCTGCCCCTCTTGTTGATGGAAATTAGCTTCAAATGCTGCCTAGAGACCTCACAGCAAATGAGCAACTGGTACTATCCATACAATTTGCAAAATGAACTTCACTCTACTCTGTCTAAATGTTCAGCAGGAAGTGCAATAAACACTTGGTCATCGTGACGTTCTGAGTGCTATATGCTGATGATTTAACAGATCTAATTCTTGTCAAATATTTACAATGAGAAGCACATTGCCTTGTCTTAGGAACTCCACACTACGATCTCGCTGCAGCCCAGCATTAAGACCTGGGGTCTAACATGGCAGACAGAGACTGCATTAGGTATTAAAGTAGAGAGCTGAGATGACCTTTAACTCACCTTTCAATTCTGCCATTTTGAGAATCACTGGTCTTATTCACCGGGGACCTGCACTCTACTATTTGATTTTAACTTCTTGGAAATACAAACCCTTCCTATTTTTGTCTCCTGTGTAAAGCTATGTCACTTCTTCATCAAAAGCTCTCAGAGCTCCCTGGTGAGTCCTCATTGTTCTAAAGGCCAAGAGAACAAAGTAGTGTCTAAATAGAGAAAGCTCCTGAAGCCTTCGAGTCACTTCTGTGCACACGTGCAGGGCAGTACTGAGAGGAACAAATGAAGAGGTTAGTTTCTTTTGAAGGCAAGAAGAATCCCCATGGTCATGGAAGCAGCAACAGTTCTGATAGGCAATAGATTCTATTTGTGTAGCTCTTGACAAAACTGAGAAATAGGTATCAGACACTTTTAAAGACTGACATTGTAATTTCCAGAATGTCACTACTCTTTGCCTGATGGCCCCTTATTAATCCTTACCACCACTAAAGCCTGCCAACCAAAAGTACTCCCCCCCCCCAGTGTATTATTTGCTTTTGTATTCTGTTTGTTTGTATAAATTTAGAGTTTCTTTGCAAATCTCTATCTTACTATACAAAGGTTCTAGATTGAATTAATGAACTAGTTATTGCTTACTGCCTCTGCCATAATTTGTTCCCGGTCGTCCTTCCTTCCTTCCCCTCTAGACTCATACTCTTAGCAAAGTTAACAGTTTATTATATGCATCACATATGTTTCACAGGTCTTAATTACGTAAGTGTATTTAACAGAGCTATTCCTGTTAATGGTTTTTTTTTTTTTTAGCAAAATGAAGGTCTATACATTCAAATTTTAAAATAAATAGTGGAAAATTCACTGTTTCTTTGTAGGCATATAATGTTCAGTGCTACATACTATTCTATGATACCACAACTTAATCATTTTTTTTTATTGACAAGAACATACTTTGTAGACATTTGTCCTAATAGAGGGGGCACTATAATTCAAATCTAGTTGTTTTAAAATAAATTCAGATAAACTTTAGATTAATAGAATGATTACAAATGTATCATGGTATTTATATAACCTACACCCCCCATTACTGTGATATATTTATTACAATCATTGAACTAGTCAAACTATGTAACAATGACCAATTACTATAAACTAAAGATCATACTCACTATTTCCTCATTTTTTCTTTCTAGCTCCTTTTTTTTTCTGTTTCAGGATATCATTCAGATATTGCATTCTATTTAGTTTTTATATTTCTTTCTCTCTTTTCTTTAATTTGGCCTTTTGAGATATGATCTCACTATGTAGCTCTGGCTGTCTTGGAACTTACTATTTAAACCAGGCAGGCTTTGAACTCACAACAATCAGCCCGCCTCTACATCCTGAGTGCTGGGGTTAAAGGCACATAACCACTATGTCTAGATTGGTTGGCATGTCTTTTAAAGATTTTTTGGCTGTGGCAGCCCCTCAGAGTTATCTAGTTTTTTGATAAGTTTGAGAACTTAAAATAAACTGTTTAGAATGCCCCCATTGAGATTTAGCTAATATTTTCTCATAGTAAACTGGGCTAAAAATTTTTGGAAAGGATGACTACAGACATAAAATACCATCCTCATCACCATATCAAGGTCACAAATGGTCAATATAGCATGACTATTGGTGATGACTAGCTATACATGTTAGGCTGACCTTGAACCTGTAGAATTTCTGCCTTAGCCTTGCAAATGCTGGGATTATAGGCATATGCCATCACCGAAGCTTCTTAATGTAATCTTTGGAAGAAAGTCATTATTCACATTTGTAATTCATGCAAATAAATATTCTGTCTTCTTCTTCAAGACAGAATATTTGCATGAATTACAATTTATCTTAGCAGATTTATCTCTCCTCTCCAATTTATCTATTCAGTCAAATGGGTTTTCACCAGTATGGACTCATGGATATTTATATTATGTAACACAATTACATTTTTTCCCTTTGTTGAAATCTCTTATATTTGGAAATGGGAGCTCTTTCAGTTGGCTCATGTGTTCTTTTGATATAAGGCCATCATTGCTGGGTAGTTTTTTCATTTTTTTACATTATTGAAAGATGTTCCAGACTTATTTTGTGTGTGTGTATATATATATTGCCTTGCACTGAGAATTACCCATTTTCTTAAAAGCCCAAATTCTTTGTAATAGAGACTGGACTAGATTAGAGGAATGAAACCAGTTTTTGAAGGCTAGGTATAACCACTACTAGATTGTTGCTACTTCTATCTTTACACCTCAAAATGAATTAGCTTTTCAAAAAAGCAATGTACTTTTGTTTGGGTTTTGCCATATTTGATATTAGAGCCAGGGTCTTCTATTTTCCAGGCAAGTGTTTCACCACAGAGCTACAACCTTTGCTTAAGCATTGTGCTAGTTCATGCACAATTCTCTAGATGCTGAAGAAACGCCAGAGGTCCTAGAGCTTCTTAGTGTCCCCATGTATTTCCCACAGTGGTCCCCTTTTGATTTCATAGCAGGTTGGCTTTAATTATAACTCTTGTAGATACCATCTGAGTCTGTGATTCTCTTCTTGCAGGTAGATCAATAGCAGAGACTTGGATTTAGACCTAACTGGTGACCTCTTTCAATTTGTGTCCCAGGCCTTAGGGAGCAAAGGTACAGGGAGAACTTTGAAAAAATATTCCTCATATGTCCCTTGATAAGGCTCAACAAAGTTTGGGAGCTACCATTCTACAGTAAGTAATTACAGTCTTATCAACTCAGAGAAGTAGGAATTTATATTCTCAAGCAATTGTAATCATACACACAAGTACACACAGGAAAATACCATAGTAAAATCCATCACTTCATATGTTAATGCCAAATGTAATGAAAGGGAATTAATATTATTGTATATGACACTGGCATAGCTAGCAGCGGGTGGTAAATAATAAACCTGTTTTTTATCTTGTAGTAACCAGTCACTTCAAATAGGTTCCAAATGAGGAAATTAGTCCATATAGAGAAATATAGTAAAATTTCTGGTTACAAAAATGTTCAGTATTCATCCAAAATTCTAAATTTTGTGTTATCTTAAGGTAATCAATAATGATTTGTCTGTGCTTTATTGACCCCACTGGAAATCATTCTGTAGACTTTGCTGTTCTTAAAAATCAAGCGATGAAATATTTAGTAAAATCCTATACTCATTTGAATCATAGCAAGTTATTTACTGTTTGTGACCTTTCAGTAACTAGCTGCTCATTTTTAACATCTTTTATTATTCAATCTCAGAATATAGATGAGCTAGTAACGAAGTAATAGTAGAGGACTTAAGCATATTTTGGCATGCAGTGCTAATCCATAATTAATTACGGGTATTTCCATTCTAGGCCTTTCAATTAAGATTTTTAATACTGTAAAAAAAAAGATGAAATCTATTTTATTTGACAAAATCCACCCTATCACTCTTACAGATTGTACATAAGAGATGACTTAATCGGTAGATAAAGATGTAGTCCAAAAATTTCAGAGTGAATTCATGCATATTGAAAAGAACGAGTGAATATAAATGAATATCTATAGAAATCTTCAAATTTTAGGGTAGCCAAAACCAAATGTAGATAATCAATCGGAGGTAGAAACACATCATAATTGTTACTTTGCAGTAGATACACAGAATAACGAAGGAACCCATTTGTTAAATGGGACTATAATATGAATATTTTGTTCTTTAAAATCAATGAAATAAATTAGAGTCTCAAGACCTTAATGAATCACAATTGCTTTGCAGATAATCCCTTAGTGAATTTATTCCTCCAGGAAGTATGCCATTTGTTTTGATTCACCAAATGTGATTTAATCAAGTCATATTCAAGTAGTTATTATGATAACAAGTCACACCATCAGAAAAGTTGAAGAGAGTGTAAGTATTTGGAATAAAAAAATATGTCAAGTTGTTAGCTCTTGAATATCTGTAATCAGTACAGGACAATTCAGTACATTGTCTTTTTGATTTCTGAGTATATTTGAAATAGTTCACAATTTAAAAGAAAGAAATATCAGCATACAGTAAATTTGACTGATTTTGCTCTTAAATTTATTGATCTGTAAAGTGCTATATAATTTATGACTATATTTTTATATTTCAGTCAAGAATATTCAGCGAATATATGTCATAGTATTCATATACAATAGAGATAGGAAAGATATGTTTCATAAAAAGCGATTGCCTTAGTCTATCTCAGACACTAAGAAATAGTTTTTATCACCTTCTACTCTCGTTCCTTCCTCTCTGCCATGGTTACCAAGAGATTTTCAAGGACATCGAACATTTCTCATAATTCAATTCCAGCCTAACTATTGATCCTTGAAAAGTTAAGTGTCAACAAGTCAGTTGCCTGGGTAGCAATTTCCAGGAGAGCAGATAGTTTCTTGTTGGAAAAATGAAAGCCTGAATCTTATAGAATTAATTGACCCCCAGAAAAGTTCAAGATTGTACAGCAGGATCTTGAGACAGTAGCAATATCTTATTTGGTCTGTGTGGGATGAAATGAAATGCAATTAGTTATTTTTTTACCTACCTTCTGTTACAAATGGGAGCCCTTGCTTTAATTATTTTTGATACTAATTATGTGTAAATGATAAATTATTTTTCAACATTCAAATTTTGATAATGTGTTTATTTACAAAAATTATAAATAGCATAAAATAGCAAATACATGGCAATTATACTTTGTTTTCTCCCATTAATAGCAAATTTGATATGCTGCAGCTTAGGAAAAAATATTACCAGACTATTATACATTAGCTGTATAATTCAGAATTGTAACCAAGTTGTTGTACAATACTAATGAAATTCAACTCTCTTCAGTTTGTTTATTGAACAGAAGCATGTGTTTATTTTCTAGTGAGTTAGCAGGACTTTTGTTTTAGATAAGTTAATGGATTGTATTTTGTAACTATGAATGAGAACTGATTAAAAGTAGCCATTAGTAAGTTGATTAATACTGGTGTGTGTAGATACCTTTTTAGTTTCATGCCTTGTGTCATAACACAATCTTAGAGACTTTTTGTCCTATACTCATTTTTGTAAGAATTAAGCTTTTAACCCATTGTGTGCACTGAAAACGGAAAATCTTAAGAACAAGAAAGCAATGTAATAAGTGTGGCAGCCCACCTGAAATGTAAAGTATTGAAGGTTGTAACAAACTCCTTTGTTGTCTCCTTTCATACACCCTATTCTACTGCTACCATGCCCTACTTTTCTGTATCCCATTTCCAATAATCTATTGATGCCACCCAGACACTGAACGAACTAGCTCACAAGTTTGCACTCTCTTTCTCTTTTCTTACACAGAATCTTTAAAATATAGTGATCAATTGCTATAATCATTTCCATTTATATCATCTTGATTCTCTTTACCCTTTCTCCCTCATCCTATTTGTTTGTAAAAAAAAAAAAAATTGCAGCCCTGTTTAAGCCCACACAGTCAGCTCTACTGTGCCTCTTTTCTTACTGCTTATCGTGGCTGAAGAGAAATAGGATAACATTTCTTGGTTTTAAGTGAATTATCATGGTCTTCAAATGAATCCTTAATCCTTCTCAGTGGTCTTACTATGTATTCTTAGTTCAGTCTTTTATCTGCTTATGTGACTAGTTTACATTTTCCTCCGTGCCTCATACTTGTATCCCATCCTCCTCATTGTTTCCTATTTCACTGAAGAAAACGAAGCAGTTAGGAAAGAACTTCAACTCTATCTACCTTCCCATTGTCATCTGTATCTACTTAATCTCCTTATAGCCTCTGTATCTACTTAATCTCCTTATAGCCTGTTAACATAGATTACTAAGGCTCTTTTGTCCTTTAGATTTCTCCCTGCTTGCCTACTCAAATATATCATCTGACTGGTTTTCTTATATTTTCCTGTATCATGGAATTGTACACACATACACACACATTCTTTCTATAAACACACTAATCAATATTCGTAGTATTAAAAAAATCTTGCATCTCCATTGCCTGCCACAGCTCCCAATTTTATGGCCATTTGACGAACAAAACTACTTTAAAGAATTTTCTGGTAATGGTATCACAGATGTTTGCAGATGTCCAAAACAACTGACCGCATAGTTAAATGTGTGGATTTTTTCATATATTAATTATACCTCCAAAAATCATTTAAGAATGTAAGATGTGTGTAGCCATAATTTTTTTTAAAGTTTCACCATGTATCAAAAAAAACTGCTCTCCTCAAAGTCTCCAGTGAGCTCAGCAATAGTAGCCACAATGACCGAGTCAGCTTTAAGTCCTGTGATTCCTTCCTTGATCAGTAAGTGTATTTGGCATACTCCATCTTTCACTTCTGTTTGAAAGCGTTCTTTGCCCTAAGTCTAGATATCAGGAATGGTAGTCACCCTGGGAAATTTTGTCACTCTCCCTTACCTTTTTGTCTCGGCATCTCTTATTTTTCTTAACCTTTTAATGTTGTATAGGTCAACATTTTCAAGTTTTCTGAGTTCTAAAAGGAGAAATCATCAAATCTGAGTTGTTGCCAAAATTTACCAATTTTTAAGTTCTTGAGAGGTCTACACTCCCCCAAATAATACATATTAATTGTTCACAAGTAACTTCATTTTGCAAACTCTGATTGGGTTCTAACACCTACAGTAGCCCAGGGACTGGCAGATACTAATGACTGTGTCTAGATTTCCTCAGGCGGAAAAACAAAGGCTTGTTTACTTATTCAGCAGACATTTTGAACACTTACATTAGATATTGAGTGTTTGTATTTCACAATATGGATGTAAGTGCCTCTTCTCATGGAGCTTATATTATAGATTGTAGGAAACATACAAATTCCAAAAAAAAAAAAAAAATACTCCCCCCCCCCAAATCCAATGGGTAATGTGGGTGGAGAGTCTATTAAAGGTCATGCTATAGAAGCACCGTGGAGACTGTTTTCATTTAGGAGGCCAGGGCAACTTCCCAGAGAAAGTGATGCTTATGTTGAGATCTGAAGGGATGGAAGGAGTCGGTCTCTTGAGATTCGTGGGGAGAGTGTTATAGTCAACAAACAACAAATAGAAAGCTTGTGGAATGGACACCAGCTTCTTTTTTTTTTTTTTTGTTTGTTTGTTTGTTCGTGTGCTTGCTCTTTTGTTCTTTGGAAACAGGCTTCTTATTTTCAGGGAAGCTAGACAGAAAGCTGTTGACACACACTGATTACTGGGATCTCTGGGGCATAAACCTGGAACAGCTAGAGTGTAGCCATCCTTTGAGGCAGAAGATAGTGAAAAGGTACTGAGGTTGTGGTAGTGAACACACAGAATGATGCAATGAAAAGAAAATACAGTGCATAAAGGGCACAGCTTGGAGTACAGAGCATGTGCATGACAGAGGAGTAGATGTAAGGTGAAAGGAAGACTGACAGTCTCAGGGAACAGAATACCAGACCCAGTGCCTGTAGAGTTTGGGCAAAAACCTCTGCAATAAAGACTATACAGCCCCAAAGAAAGAAGTTGTTGAAAATACTAAAAGGCAGAAAGATGTTATTGGATCAGCAGAATAAGTACTATAAAAATAATCACATTACTAAATTAAAAATTCAATATAGTTTGCATCAAAATATCAGTAACATTTCTCACAGGAATGTTTAAAATAATTCATAACTCATAGGGAAACACAGAAGACCCAAAACAGAAGACGACTCCTAAGGAAAAAGAGCAATGCTGTAAGCATCGCAACATCTGACTTCAAACTACACACAGACTCAGAAACAAACCCAGCATGGTACTGGCACAAAATAAACCATAGATAAAGCAAAAAAAAAAAAAAATAGAATACCCAGAAATAAGACCAAGCAGATACAACCATCTGAATCTTGACAAAGGTACAGAATACACTGAAGGAAAATCCTCTTTAACAATAGGTACTTGGAAAACTAGATAACTATATGTATAGAAATATTAGAGTCTTGTATCTACCCTGTGTAAAAATCAGGTCAAAATGAATCAAACACTGTAATGTAAAATCTACATCTTTGAAGCTAGTGAAAATCTTACAGATCTGGGAATAGACAAGGATGTTCTGAATAGGACCCTAACAGCTCAAGAAGTAAAAGCAACTGTTGACAACTGGGACTTCATGAAATAAAAAAGTGTTTGTTTCCTGAGAGATACATTTAACTGATTAGATAGAAAGCCTATAGAATGATAGAAAACCTTTGTCAAACACTTCCCTGACAGATGATTGATATGGAGAATGCATAAAGAATTGCAAAAAATTAAGTTAAAAATTCAAATTATCTCATAAGTAGGTGGTAATGGCAAAAAATATTTGAAAAAGAAAAGGTGTTTCCACCTTAGCCATCAGTGAAATGTAAGTCAAAACTATGTTGAAGTTCCTCCTCACCCTAGCCTAGGTGACTGTCATCAAGAAAATAACAACAAATGCTGATGAAAAGAAAGCCAGAGCCAGGAAGGGAATCCTTAGTTATTGCTAGTATGAATAGAAATTATTTCAGCCACTGTGGAAATCAGTGTGGAAGTTCTTACCTAAAAATATACATTTTGTATGATCCAGCTACTCCAATTTGAGGCATATAACCCAAAAACAATCAGGTAGTTATAAGGATTAAAGAGACTTTCCCAGTGACTTGGGCAACTGAAACTTGGGCAGATGTTACAAATTCCAGAGCTCAGTACAAATCAGTTTGTGCTACTGTCTCCTCTTGTATTACCCATTCTCTGTAGGAACCTATCTTTCTATATCATGATGAATAAGGTGCAATTACTTATGTTAATTTGTGCCCACATAAAGTTCTGTGGTCCTGTTTGCAGTTCCCTTGGTTCGCAGTGTGGTCTGGTGATGAACACAGAATCTTGCCTAATAAAGATGAACAACAGAGGGCAGTAGAATAGAGATAATAAGTTCATGGAAAGTATGGATCAAGTCCAAAAAGGATTTTTCTAAAACACAATCAGTTCTTGCTTTATAAAGTAAGAAACACTATTGTCATTTTTCAGTTTCCACACTTCCTATATTTTTTAAAAAGTGTTTTAAAATTGCTTTTCACCAAAAAGAGAGGTTGATGATATTTGTAGGATGTGTGTCCTGAAATGACTACTCTGTCTCTGTATCTTTCTTTTTCTCAGTAAAGACTCACTTTGTAGTGCTGGCTGGCTTGGAATTCACTCTGTAGACCAGGCTGTCCTCGAACTAACAGAGATCCACCTGCCTCTGCTTCTGAAGTGCTGGGATTAAAGGCGTGTACCACTATGCCTGGCTGCTTCTTTATTTTGACCATTTACTATAACCCCCAAATATCCGGCATATAAGATTCACAAGCAATTCCAGAAACATATTCATCAGCATATTGTTTGATGGTAGAATGAATATAGTCATGGGTCACAAGTGTATAGTTTAGGTTTGTCTAAGAACTCATTGCATGAGACCATTTTCCTTTGTTCATCTCATAGTTGAACTGCTTCATAATGAAACAGAAATGATAACTCACACATTCCTAACTGCAGGTGTTTATTATTAATAAAAGGTATGTTTTCAGTCAAGACTATTTTAGCTGTTAGGCATCAATTACATAAGTAACAACTATTTTTGTTGATTTTTATTGAGCTTACATTTTTCTCTGCTCCCGTTCTTGCCTCGTCCCTCCCCTCAACCCTCTCCCAAGGTCCCCATTCTCCCAATTTACTCAGGAGATCTTGTCTTTTTCTACTACCCATGTAGATTAGATCCATGTAAGTCTCTCTTAGGGTCCTCATTGTTGTCTAGGTTCTCTGGGATTATGATTTGTAAGGTGGTTTTGAAACAACTATGTTTAGAGAGTCTTCTATGTAAAAGGTATGACAGCAAGCAAAATAAAATGACAAGGATCTAATTTTTAACAGATTAAAAGAATTGGTACAGCCATACAAATTGTAATCAGGCAAGGATAATTTAGAAGACAGATTCTTAATTGATTTAACAAGGAAGTAAGTCTCTGGAAGCCTAGTCCAGCAACTAAAAACATTTAATAATTCTGAATAAGTTTGAATAAGTATTTCCTGTGTTGCCTAAAACATCAAGGGGAGATGTCTAACTACTAACAACACAAAGTGGTTTGATTTTTTTGTGTTTTTTTTTAATTTTTAACTTTACCATCATTCCCAATGTGTGTTACATTCTGTAGCTACATGAAACTTCTCTCATCATTCCTCAGTTTGATTTGGAACTAAAACTCTTTTCAAAATGCATTCTCTGCAAGTTTCTCCTCTTTTTGACCTCCTCTTTCCTTCCACCTCATGTGTGTTGCTTATTATTTATTACTTAATTTAATTTATTAAAAATATTACATGAGCTGTGTGGTGGTAGCACATGCATTTAATTCCAGCACTCAGGAAGCAGAAGCAGGTGGGTTCGAAGTCAGCCTGGACTACAGGAGTTAGTTCCAGGACAGACTTCAAAGCTACAGAGAAACCCTATCTTAAAAAACCACACACACACACACACACACATCACATCACATTATTATTTTTCTTACTTATTACTTACCTTAAATTTTTATTTACTTGTGAGTTTGTATGTGCCTGTGTGTGTATCCATGAGAGTGCATATGCAAACATGTGTGGGGTTGTTCACAGCAGCCAAAAGAGGGTGTGAGATCCCTTGAAGCTGGAATTATAGGTCATTGTGAAATCCCAGACATGGGTGCTGAAAGCCAAACTCAGGTCTTCAGAAAGAGCAACAAGTATTTTCTTTTTTTTTCATGATATTTATTGAGCTCTACAATTTTCTCTGCTCCCCTCTCTGCCACTCCCCTCCCCTCTTCAATTTCCCCCCAAGGTCCCCATGCTCCCATTTTACTCAGAAGATCTTGTCTTTTTATACTTTCTACCTCCCATGTAGATTATATCTATGTAAGTCTCTCTTAGTGTCCGCATTGTTATCTAAGTTCTCTGGGATGGTGGTTTATAGACTGGTTTTCTTTGCTTTATGTTTAAAAGCCACCTATTAGTGATATTTTATCACTAATTATTAGTGTAATAATTTTCTTTCTCTGTCTGGGTTACCTCACTCAAAACAATGTTTTCTAGTTCCGTTCATTTTCCAGCAAAATTTAAGCTGTTGTTATTTTTTTCTGCTGTGTAGTACTCCATTGTGTAAATGTACCACCTTTTTTTATCCATTCTTCGATGGAGGGGCATTTAGGTTGTTTCCAGGTTCTGTCTATGACAAAGAAAGCTGAAATGAACATAGTTGAGCACATTTCCTTGTGGCATGACTGAGCATCCTTTGGATATATACCTAAAAGTGGTATTATTGGGTCTTGAGGAATGCAAGCTGGTACAACCCCTTTGGATGTCAGTGTGGCGATTTCTCAGAAAATTGGGCAACAAGCATTTTCAACTGCTGAGTCATCTCTCCAGGCTGATATATGACTTATAAGTATCCTTTTCCAATGTAATTTGTTGAAATTTCTATTTCTCCTTGCAATGTATCATCTCTCTTCAGCTATTTGTT